TGGGGCTGGGGCCTGAGGAGCGTGCTGAGCCTCGGCTGGTGGAGACCCAGAGCACACGGCTCATCGAGGTTGAGCGCAGTGTGAGTGTTGGAGCATGGTGGGGGTGGGGCTGGGAGTACAGCAGCCTGGCCACTGCTAACCCCCTCTTCTGGGCAGAATGCAACGCTGGTGGCTGAGAAAACGGCTCTGCAGGGGCAGCTGCAGCAGCTGGAGGGGCAGCTGGGAAGCCTGCAGAGCCGAGCCCAGGAGCTGTTGCTGCAGAGTCAGCGGGCCCAGGAGTACAGCAGCCACCTGCAGGTGGGTTGCAGCCTGGTGCCCTGTCCCCTGCCCACCTACCACAGCCCCTGCCCCTTTTGTATTATTTTGCAACCTTTTCCCTAACCGGGCTCCCAGGCAGCTGCCCCACTTTGTTCGTAGTTACAATTATTTTTGTTCTCTGACCCCAGCCATCCTTTTGCGCCTCTCCCCCTCCCCCGCCTCCTTCTCCCTGCCTCCAGCTCCTGCATCTGCACCCCTTTTGCCCTCTAGTTTCCCCATCTCAGCCCTCTCCTGCACGGCTAGCCCTGCCATGTGCCTCTTGCCCTCCCTTCCAGTGCCTGGCACCCCCCCAGATGCCACGATATCCCCCTCTCCCTGCCCATTAACCTCTGCCTCCTCCACAGCTCTCTCTTGTCCTCTGCCCTGCCCTCTGCACTCGGCCCGCTGTGTCGTACCCCCTTTCCATCCTGGGATTCCACCCCAGTGATCCCTGCCTCCCTCCTGCATCCTAGGCTGAGAAGTCCATTCTGGAGATGCAGGGCCAAGAGCTGCACAGGAAGCTGGGGGTTCTGGAAGAGGAGGTGTCGGCAGCACGGCGGTCCCAGGAGGAGACTCGCGGGCAGCAGCAGGCCCTGCTGCGGGACCATGAGGCTCTGGCACAGCTACAGCGGCGGCAGGAGGCCGAGCTAGAGGGACTGCTGGTGCGGCACCGTGACCTCAAAGCCAACATGCGGGCACTGGAGCTGGCCCACCGGGAGCTGCAGGGACGGTGAGCCTCCCCAAATGCCCAGCTCCTCTCCTGGCACCCCTCCCTGTCCTGAGCACAATCCCTTGCAGGTCTGACCCCATCAGGAAGCAGTGCCCCCCAGCACATTCGCCTTTGCTCCACGACACCCCCAGCAGGTGTTGTGCCCTTTTGGGCGGCTAGGCTCCCCACACCTCTGGGCCGGGCTCGCCATAGGGCTCACCTGTCGAGCATTCTGCCCTGTGACTTTGCTTGAGGGGTGCATGCTTAGGAGATGACAGACCTCCAGGTCCAGACAGTCCAGCTGCCCACTTGCTGTAGCCCCAGGCCTCTGCAGCCCTCTCAGCCCTTTGTCCATCCCAGGCATGAGCAGCTGCAGGCCCAGCGGGCCAACGTGGAAGCGCAGGAGGTGGCCTTGCTGGCAGAGCGTGAACGGCTGATGCAGGATGGGCATCGGCAGCGGGGCCTGGAGGAAGAGCTTCGGAGGCTGCAGAGCGAGCATGAGAGGTGCCAGCCCAGGCTCCACTTCTCCCCCCTTGGGCCAACCTTCAGTGTTCCCATCTGTGAAGTGGGTTGGGGCTGCGTGATCACTGTCCCTGTGGGGTCTTGTTTTGCCTCCTCTCCCTGGTGTGGCTCCTCTGGCCGGCATGAGGCGTGTGGGGAGCGAGGCCCCTTGGAGAGCAGCCCTCCTTGCTTCCATAGAGCTCAGATGCTGCTGGCAGAGGTGTCTCGGGAGCGAGGTGAGCTGCAGGGCGAACGCGGGGAGCTGCGGGGCCGTCTGGCACGACTGGAGCTGGAGCGGGCACAGCTGGAGATGCAGAGCCAGCAGCTGCGCGAGTCCAACCAGCAGCTGGACCTGAGCGCCTGCCGGCTGACCACGCAGTGTGAGGTGCGGGTGGGCGGGTGGCGGCCAGGGCCAGATGATGGGCAGGCAGCCAGGGAGGGCAGACCCAGGCTGCTCTGAGCCAGGTTACACCAGCAACCTGTGCTGCTGCCCACCAGTTGCTGACAGAGCTGCGGAGTGCACAGGAGGAGGAGAACCGACAGCTGCTGGCAGAGGTGCAGGCCCTGAGCCGGGAGAACAGAGAGCTCCTGGAGCGCAGCCTGGAGAGCCGGGACCACCTGCACCGCGAGCAGCGCGAATACCTGTGAGTTGAATGCCTGGGAGCTGGGGGTCCTGGCCAGCCCTTTGGTTGTTGGGGAGGTCCTGGGAAAGGGGTTGGAGAAAACCACATGGGGTCACCCTAACCTGCGGTATGATTGTCCCAGTGTGTCTCTGCTGCAACCTGTGCCTGGCTCCTGCTCAGGTCTCATGGGCCTCATGCCCACCTCCCCCCACCCCCTCCTACCAGGGACCAGCTTAATGCCCTGCGCCGTGAGAAGCAGAAGCTTGTGGAGAAGATCATGGATCAGTACCGCGTGCTGGAGCCTGGGCCCCTGCCCCGGACCAAGTGAGTGGCCCCTTCCAACTCCCTGGGGCCAGGGATCCTGCCAACCTCTGCCCCTGCCCTGCCCTGCCCTCCACCCCTGGGCCCAGCTCAGGTCCAGGTCCTGGTGAGTGTTGGCCTGGCCTTTGCCATCTCTGACACAGCCCTCTTCTCCCTCCTTCCTCCCCGTCCTTACCCCCTCTTGTACCCTCTTGACCCCAGGAAGGGCAGCTGGCTGGCAGACAAGGTGAAGAGGCTGATGCGGCCCCGACGGGAGGGGGCCCCCCATGGGGGGCTGCGCCTGGGTGCCGATGGGGCTGGCAGCATCGAGAGCCTGGGGGGCCCCCTGGAGACCGAGCTCCCCGAGGGCAGGGAGGCAGATGGGACAGGTGGGTCTGGAGGCCAGGAGACCAGGATGGTTCTTACCCCATGTCCCCCACCCCCTCCTCGGCACCTGCCATATTGCCTGGTCTGCACACGTGTCCCTGCTGCCTGCCTACACCTGCTCAGATGCTTTCAGGGGCTCTTTACTCTGGGCCCTGCAGGGTCCCTCTTGGCTGGCACCTCCATCCTGCCTGCACTGCCAGCCACCCAGTCCTACCTCAGTGCTGCCTAGGACCTCAGATCGGCAGCAGACTTGAGTGAGAGGTCATTTATCCTACATAGCAGACGAGGAGACTGAGCCCCAGGGAGGGGAAGCGCCTTGTCAGAGCCAGCCCAGAGCCCAGCCTCCCGAAGCGCCCCTCATTCACCTGGCCCCTCCCCGGCCCCATGCAGCTTCCCCCTCTGGCCCCTCTGCTTGTGCCTCCCTGCACTTCTCTGACACCCTCCCTGCATGTGCCTCTTGTAGGGTCCCCTTCGCCAGCACCCATGCGCCGGGCCCAGAGCTCCCTCTGCCTGCGGGATGAGACCCTGGCAGGCGGGCAGCGGCGGAAACTCAGTTCACGCTTCCCTGTGGGGCGAAGCTCTGAGTCATTCAGCCCCGGGGACACCCCCCGGCAGCGATTCCGACAGCGCCACCACCGTCCAGGCCCCCTGGGGGCACCCAGCTCCCATGGCAAAGGTGAGGGACAAGGGTCCCTGCCCCTGCTAGCCCTCTGCCTCCCTGTGGACTCACCAGCTCCTTGGGGGAGGGCACTTCCTTTGTGTCCTGTATTTTTCCTGTAAGCCCCGTCCACCTCTGCACTGGCCCTGGGGACCCAGTGGCTGCCTTGTGCCCCCAGGACCTGGTGTGGGATGGGATGGCTCTGTTGAGACCCTCCAGGAACACGAAGCAGATGCCAACCGAGAGGGCTGGCCCTGGGGACCCAGTGGCTGCCTTGTGCCCCCAGGACCTGGCGTGGGATGGGATGGCTCTGTTGAGACCCTCCAGGAACACGAAGCAGATGCCAACCGAGAGGGTGAGTGGGGGCTTAGGGAAGGAGTGGGGGTGTTTGCCCTGCCTGGAGCTCCTGGCGGACCTCATTCATCCTTCTGTCATTTGACAGTGACCCTTTTCCAAGTGCCAGGTGGCGTGCTAGCCGGGGGTACAGCAGGGCACACTCTGGTGTGGGGAGGCAGACGGTAAACAATAGTTGTAAAAATAATTATCAGCTACAGCAGCTCTGTCTGATAGAAATATGATGTGAGCCACACTTGTAGTGTTAACTTTTCTAGTAGTCTCATCAGAAAAAGTAGAAAGAGACAGGTACAGTGAATTGTAATGTCATATTTAACTCGATATGCCTAAGCGATTGCCATTTCATCATGCAGTAAGCATAAAAAATCATTCATGAGATATTTGACATTATTTTTTCATGCCAAGTCTTTGAAGTCCAGTGGGTATTCCACACACAGGCACACTGCAGTGCAGACCAGGCACACGTCACCTACTCAGTCCAGTATCAGGCAGCTCAGCCCTAGAGTATTAGGAGGGGATAATGCTCTGGGAAGGAAGCAGAGCAGGGCGAGGGTTAGGGTGCTGAGCGGGGTGCAGGTTGCAATTTTAATCAGGGTGTTCAGGGAAGGCCTCAGAGAGGAGGTGATGTTGGAGCAAAGACTTGGAGGTGAGAGTTTGTCATGGCGACATTTCTGGGGAACAGCATTCCAGGTAGAGGGAACAGCTGAAGAAAGGCCTGGCATGTTCGAGGGCTGGCACGGTGGCTGGTGCAGCAGCGGTGGAGGAGGTTAGAGAGGGCAGAGGTGGCTAGAAGGGGTACGGCCCCATGGGCCACCTTGAACGCTGGCATCCTCCGGAGGGAGGTGGGCCTGAGCTGAGCCTTTCCCTCCAGGCCCCGAGGTACAGGAACCGGAGAAACGTCCCCTTGCCCCTTCCCTCAGCCAGTGACACTGCCGGGACAGAGAGCTTGGGAGTGCAGTCCTCTCGCCGCTGGAGTGTCAGTGGGGGCCGCAGGCAGTCCAAGAGCGCTGAGAGCCAGGGCATCCGAGGGGAGTCTTTGGACGAGGAGGCCTGGGCCCCCAGGTCCACCACAGCCAAATCTGGGGCCCTAAGGTGGAATTGGGACAACTTTGTGGACAGGAGGCATGGCTGGCCCCCACGAGCAGCTCCTGCCCAGGGCTCTGGCCCTGCCATGCGGCCCCCGCTGAGGAGGCGGACTCTGGGGTATCCCCTGGCTGAAGGAGGCTGGCAGGACTGGGCAAGAGAGCCCCCTGCCCGGTCCAAGAAGGGAGGCAAGGCCCATTCCCTGGAACTGTGACCTGGGCTGGTCTCTGAGACTTAGCTGGGATGTGAGGAGCATGAGAATAAAGCCGGATACATGCACCTGAATCATGCTTTGTGTCTCTTGGCTGCATCCAGAATCCTGTTGGCAGGGATCTGTGGCCAGTGGGACCTTGCCTGGACAGGGAAGCAAAGGACTTTCTTCAGGGGCTTGGCTAGTTGAACTTGCCAAAGCCTAGGGTGGGGAAGGTGCTGGCGTGGTGGGCAACCAGCAGGAGTGGGGCCTGAGGTCTGGGCTTGGGTGGAGGGCAAGCAAAGGACTTTCTTCAGGGGCTTGGCTAGTTGAACTTGCCAAAGCCTAGGGTGGGGAGGGTGCTGGCGTGGTGGGCAACCAGCAGGAGTGGGGCCTGAGGTCTGGGCTTGGGTGGAGGGCAGTGAAGCTCCTGACCCCCCTCTCCCAGAGTACCCTCTTCTCTCCTTTCACATCTTTCTGCCTCTTCCTCCTCTCTCCCCCACTCTTTTGGAGTTGAGCCCCTTCCCAGGGAGCTCATGGCTGGTAGGCATCACCTTGTGTCACGGCTGCCACAGAGGTGGGAGGGATGCCTGGTCTCCGACCAAGGCCTCTAGGATGGCACCTGAGAGGGGGAGAAATTAGGCTGGGCGGCAGGATGTGAGTCAGGGTACCTGGGGCCACCCCGGGGAGGGTGGGGCTGCCTGGGGCTGAGATGAGGCAGGCTGAATTTGGGGGTGGGCAGAGCTGGGAGGGGTGGCCAGCCCAGCCTCTCTCCCTCCTCCTCTCAGCTGGAGCCTCACAGGACAGTGGAGTCGGGGTGACCGCCCTGGCCTCCAGCTGGTGGAGGAGCTGAAAGCCCCCTCCCATAGTCCTAGGGTGGGGACTCTGATGGCTGCATCACCCTGCTTGGTGGCCCTGTCAGTAGTCAGGGAGAGGGAGGCAAGAAGAAGAGGGAGCAGAGGCTCTGGAGGACAGGCCAGCCAGGGGCTCTGAGCGTGATGGGGAGAGGGGACTGCACCTGTGCATCTCTGACATCCCTTTTTTAGGCCTTCTCAGGGCTCTGGGCTGGGCACTGTGCCAAGCTTGGGGACTACAGGGGACACAGTGTGCATGGAACCTGGTGGCCTGTGAATGGTGACTAGAGCTGAGGTGCTTCTGCAGGACCCTTTAAAGAAATCTGGTCAGAAAAGTGGCTACCCCTCCCCGTCACAGTGTCCTCAGCTTGGCTCCAGGTCTCTCTCAGTGACAGGGTTTGGTTCCCAGAGTTTCTGAGTCCCTCGGCCCTCCCTTGCAAAGCCAAGTTCACAGAAGAGAGTGTCTGTTGGCCACCCAGGGGTGCAGCTAGGGAGCCCGGGATTATGGGATGGGGCTGGGCTGGTGCACTGGGATCCAGACACACTCTTAGCCTGCCCAGCACCAAGAGCGCGAGCCATGCCGGATGAAAGGTGCTGCGCCCAGGCTGCTGCTCCGCCAAGGGGCATACAGATCCCTTTTCCTATTTGCTGCAGTCGAGGAGTGATGAAAATTGAGGCGAGTGCATTGTGATTTTTATTAAATCCTCGCTTTTGCTGGTGGCTAAGAAAATTGAGCAGAAGATCCCTGGTTGCCCTTACGGCTGGCGCTGGTGGAAGGGAGGGCTCTGTACATGCCTGTGTGGGCACCCCTCCCCCCACCTCGGGGCACAGGCTCCTGACGTCCCTGACACCACTGGCTGCAGTGGCTTCCTGGAGCAGACACCCGGCTGGGGGGCATGGGCCCAACGGAGGTTCCAAGTCATCCACAGTCCCTGGGCCTGGCTCCCACGAGGTGTTTCCAGTTCCTCAGAGGGTCCAGTAGGGTCCTGGAGCTCACAGCCCTGACGCCTGCCCCGGGGCTCAGGAGACCGGGCCGCCCCCAGCGGCCGCCCACCCGCAGCCCGGCGCTGTCACGTTCCAGCCGCCTGACTCAGGCCGCACG